GGGGAAAAAATTGTCCAGAAACCTCACACCGGCGTGAACCTAACCACTCCGGGCCCTGTCACAGAGTTTTACACAGGACTTCAGGGAGAGGGAAAGAGAGGAGATGGGAAACAAATGCAGAAGAGAGAAGAAAGGAACTCCTTGAACTTGGTTCTGGACCAAAACAAAAAGAACATCGTGTAAGCTTCAGTTCATGGTGGGGGCTGGGGCGAAGCAGGGGAAATCATCGAAAGTTCTGTAGACCAGACTGATCATTTTTATCTTGACATTTTCCCTACCTGAGCTTTTCTGTAAGTGGATTTCTGGATCTCCAGGCTATAATTTGGGGAACAGTCAATGATGTAAAAGTGTAGGTTTGGAGCAAATCACGTTCAAAAGCTCTTCTTCTCAAACACTGCTTTATTGCCTCCTGTTCCTCTTGGAAGTTCACTTTCAAAGAGGGACTGTGTCATTTTCTGATCAAAGCTCTTCTCAGTCTTCATGTTCGTTCTGAGCTGTACAAGTTAGGAACCACCCTCCCCAGCCTAAGCAAAGGCCCAGATTGGGGATAGGGAGGAAAAAATTGGTGGGCTGAGAAGGGTTAAGTAAGAGTGTGCCGAGAATGGTGGCTGAAGCCCCGGAGGGCATGGATTTATTGGAGTGTTCGGGTTGCTGTCTGACTGGTGGAGGGGGGAGTGTTACCAGCTTCCCCGTGGGAGAGGTGGGCACCATACACTGGGCGGGTGTGGACTTGGATGGAGATCTCTGGGATGGCTTGAGAAGCCAGATCCTAAGAGGTGTCTAGAATCTTGACACCACGATGGATCTCAGAACCCTAGAAGAGTGAGACTGGTTTCCCTAATAGCATCTTGCCCTGAACTCAGCATTAATCTCTTCACATCCAACAGCCTGTGACCCTAATCCACTAGCCATGAATAGATTTAACAGAATGGTGTTCATTGGCACTAAGAAGTGATCCAGGTTGGAGGCAGGGCTTTCTTTAGAGATTGTGGACTTTTTAAAGGCACAGGAAACACGAATATCACCTGTAAGTCTCTCAGAAGGAGTCCTTACCGCATGCTGTCCTGAGACAGTGGAGATGATGCATGCAGCTCCCTGGTATCTAAGGTGCTTTCTCTCAAAGTGAGGGTGGGTTGGGAAGAAGCTGAAGTCACCTCTGTAATAGATGGGGTTTCAGTTAGCTACTGTTGTATACTAAACCACCCCCCCAACTTAATGACTTACGGTAACCATTAGTTACTTACTGTAAGTTGATGGAAAAACTGGTTCTTGGGTCTTGGCTAGGGTAGGCTGATCATAGCCTGGCTTGCTCATGCCTCTCTTGTCCACCGAGGGGCTGGCCAGAGACTTGCCGATCTAGGGTGGCTTTTCTCACACGTTAGGTGATTGGATGACATTTGGCTGCAGCAATGGGGGTGGCTGAGTCATGAGTCTTTCATCATCCAGCAGGCTACCCAGGCTTGTTCTCTTGGAGGTGGCAGAGTTCCCACAGGACAAGCAGTGTGAAAGGCCTTGAAACCTAGACTCAGAGCCGGCTTGGTGTCACGCATACCGTGTTCTATCAGCCAGAGCAAGTCAGGAGGGCAGCCTGGATTCAAGGACGGGAAAATCAACTGCCCCTCTTAATGGGAGTTGCTGAAAAGTCGCATTCTTAATGGTGCAGGTATAGGCAGACACAGAGAACTAGGGCCATATTTCTCATCAGTCCACACCAGCAATTTTCAACTGGTGTGTTGCAGGAATTTTTAAAACAGCAGTACCTGGCCTCTTTTTGCCTTAGATTGTCAAATAAAAAGATGACAATAGCCAACACAACAATAGCTGTCTAGCAGACAGAATGAATCAAAATTGTACGTCTTTTTTTGGTCAGATCAGGAAAAAGTATATATTGTGGTGTGCTGCAGAATTTTAGTAACTAGTTTATGTGTGCCCTGAGATGAAAAAGGTTGGAAGTCGCTGGTCTATACACACGGATTGGCTCTACTTGTGAGGTGGCTGACATGGGCCGTGGGTGTCATGTGTGACCTGGAGCCCAAGCCATCTCTGTGCAAAGCGAGAAGCCCCATGAAGGGATTGGGCCACAGCCCTTCCCACATTCAGAATGTCATGTAGGATTTCTTTTCTTGGTACCTTTGTGAGTGCTTCCTGCATTTTACAGAAAGAGAAACCAGAAAATCAGACCCCTGTCCCCAGCCCCACAAATGTTTCTTTTTGAAACAAGGTTTGAACTAACTAAGCCTTCTTTTTCGGAAACACCTGATCTCAGCGTGTCCGCTCCGCAGTGTTGCCGGCTCCTGCAGACTTCCTACAACCCTGCGCACATGGAAGAGGTGGGCGGAGTAAGCAAAGCTTTGTGGCTTACTGGCTGTGAAGCTTTGGAAATCTGGGACACAAATGTGACCTACTAAGAACGGTAGTGAACCATGGTTCCCATTCCACAGTTATTGAGATCAGTCCTTTCAGGCATTCCATCTGGATGTATGAGTTGGTCTTGAATAACAACCTTGACGATCTCTAGGGCCACCTGCCCAGGCTGGTGATGCCTCCAGTCCTGAGGGAAAACGGGCAGCGTCAGCATCGGTGGGGTGGCCAGGTGCCCTGATCGCCCCGCCCCACCTATGGTGATCCTACTGGAAAGGTGAAAAGTTGCATCTCACAAAAATATCAATGTAGCAGGCATGGCTGGTTGCCTGTTCAAAGGCTGTTCCTCACTGTGCGCCCCCCTCACTGCTTTCCCCATGACAGTGGAACCCTAAGGTAGTTTCAGTACAGGTAGCCATGTGGTTTCGCAAGACCGGACACTCTCAGCCCCAGAGGATGAACAATGATTGGCCCAAGCTAACCACTGGGCTCCCATTGTCCTGTGCTGACTGGTTTAAGCATGGACATGTGACCCAGTTTCTGGCCAATAGTACTTAGGAAGAAGTCTGATGAGGACCTCTGGGACAGATTTTGCCTGCATAAAAAGAAAGATCCAGTAAGAGAAGCATTCACTGCTTCCTTCCAGCTTATAGACCCTGTTGTTAGAAGAGAAAGGTGATGTTTGGATGTGGGGCAATTTACCACCAGGGAAGGCTGAGAGAAGCTCTTGAAGCAGACGCAAGCTCTTTTTTTTAAAATAAAAATGCATTTTATTGAATAAATGAATGAATTATTTGTTTTTTATCACTTTTTAATTGTATTTTTTTCATTACCATTTAGTCCCCTTGTATTCCCCCTTCCTGGATGCAAGCTCTGACCTCACTGAGCTGTAGAGCCAACGTGGGACAGGGCAGAAGCAGGGCGTGTCCAACCCGCGGTCCGCAGGCCGCACACAGCCCAGAATGGCTGTGACTGTGGCCCCACACAAAGTTGTAAATTTACTTAAAACCTTTTTCTTTATGCTCATCAGTTTTTGTTAGTGTTTGTGTATTTAATGTGTGGCCCAAGACAACTCTTCTTCTTCGAGTGTGGCCCAGGGACTCGGAAAGTTTGGCCACCCCCGGGGGAGAGAATTCGGCCAGGTACACCGACGTAGCTGTAGCAGTGGTCCGTAGCTGGGTTTGTTCTGACTGGTCGGGCCGTGGTTCTGCTTTGTCAGTGCCAGTGTCATGTGGACTGTGAGGTTTTGGGAATAGCATCCTTGCCCCTTGCTTGGAACCTGTGCCTCTGGGTTTACTGCTGTGTAGTGAAAACAAACCCCTACCTTTAAAGCTGCGCCAGTTGGACAGCCAGTTACTGGCAGCCTGAAGCACCCTAACTGAGGCCGCTGGGGTCGAGTCTGTGCTGTGTATGTGGATGCGTCACCTGCAGGCTTTGGGGGCTGTCGGCATCTGTCCCATTCCTTCGCCCTTCCCGCACTCGTTAGGTAACGAGAATGCCTCTCTGTTTATTGGCTCCCTGAGATATTTTTAAAAAATAGTGGTGGCGGTAGGGAAAGGCATACTATCTAACATCTGTGCCTGGAAAAGGAAGCTATTGCACCTCTATCAGTGTGCTGTATCTGCTCTTCATGGGAGGGTCGAGATAGAAATTTATCCTCTTTGGCAGAAATAGGAGATTTAGCTAACTTCTACCTAATCTGTCTATTTGCTCTCTTGCCATACCATGTGATTAGCCATATTGATAATGTCCCTTTCAGGAATGGGACTTGGCTATCTATCAGCCAAGCAGGCCGTGTCGTTGATACACACCTTCCGATCTGTGATGAGAGGTGGCTTCGGGGAGAGGGTCTGCGGACATCCTTGCCGCATTCTGTTGTCATTATGTATCTTCCTATGTCTTCTGTCAACATAAGAATGTCCAAACCTTTAGAGAATTTTTATAAAAATTTAATTGAGCCAAACAGAGAATAGGTACGCCTGGAAGCAAGATCTCAGCAAAGAGAAAAGTGCTTCTGGGACTGGCAGTTTGCAGTTTGCTATTTGGAAGTAAGGAGGGGCCAAGGAAGATGACAAACGTGGAGGTGGGGAAAAGCAAGGGGGGAGGGGTCGAATTACAGGAGCAGTAACAAGATTGTGTGTGTGCTCCCCGAGCGCACAACGGTTCCCTTGAAAAAGGTGTGTTGACCTAGATGCACAGAAACAATGGACAGGGCTTGCCTAAGGCAAAGATGACCATTTGCTAAAGAAGTTACGGGCCTGGAGTGTGACTACCCACCATGACCTGTCCAATTAGGAATTTATGATCGGATCGCCCCGGGAGGTTACTTTCCATAGAACCCCTTTATCGGCTATGCTGGGGGTGTCAAACTCATTTTCACCAGGGGCCCTAGTGGTCTCATGGTTGCCTTCAAAGGGCCGAATGTAATTTCTACTCTTTACAGTTAAGAAGTAGTTACATTTATGCATTCTTGAAATTATTTCGGCCCTTTGAAGGCAATCGCGAGGCTGATGCCCAGCCCCCCACCCCACCTCGGTGAAAATGAGTTTGACACCCCTGGCCTATACCAACTGAAAGGGCTGTGAGCAACTTAAAGGTGAGAACTACACCTCTACCCTCTGTGTTTCTGTTTGGCACAGGATGCGGCCCACACTGATGATTTGCTGAAAGAAAGAATGAGCCGTATACCCACTAACTTCCAAACACGCGCCCTGCCAAGAGCAGATGAGTTCTGTGGCCAAAGAACAGCTTACTTTCTGTTTGACCACCAGAAGAAATTCTAACCCCGGATACCGGAATATCTCACCCATTTTTAAAACCAACACATTCAAAAGTACATTTTAAGAGCAATCAGCCCACCTTTCCATGGCTTTTTGTGGCAGCGTCTGTGCCTCGAAAACCTTTTTTTTTTTTTCCCTCGATGGGTAAGGTGATGCTTCTTTCTAAAGCAACTCTCCTATGAAACGTGAAGACAAGAAACGGAAATATCATTCTCAGGGTTAAAAAGATTTTTCATCAGTTCACTAAATAGTGTGTTTGCGCTAACTTAAAGAAACTAGATAAAATATATTTCTATCTCTGCTAGCCATCTCTCAGCATGTCCGCTTGTCTGAAGCCTCCCCGAGATCCAGCAGAGACAGCGTGTAAGCTGTTCCTCAGGCGGCGTCTGAAAGCTCATCAAATAGCCAGGTAGGAAAAACACAATCACCTCCAAAACCTTCGAATGGCATTGATCTGTGGCATTAAGCCCTCGCCACAGGAAGATAAACGATGGATTTGAGACTCGCGGGAGGATTCGTTTAAAGTGCTTTGTGTTTTTTTTTTTTTTAATTTATGTATGAAGTTGCCCAGGAGTAATAAATAGACCTTATTTACTATATTTCGAAGAAATAGAATTATCAGGACTGTCTACGTATTTCAAAGCCGGGGAAAACAAAAACAGCTTTGAAGCCTCTTCTCCTGGATTTTTTTTTGTGTCCTAATCTTCTAAGAGATGGTCTTGATAATGTTTATTCTTTCTTCTTTCTCAAACAGTTGAAAGTACTATTTTTCTCAGTTAAAATAGCACTCTGATTTTAATTAGATCAGGTGAAGGACCCACTGAACACCACAGATTATTAAAATGATGGCAAAAGGGCAAGCAGGAATTTCTGAAGAGCACCACCGCCCTCCTCCCCACGTGCTCCCTCCCTCCCTAGCCCTGCGTAGATCCCACTAGTGACACAGCCTGGTCTTTGTGGGGCAGGTTTCTCCTCTGGATTTATATGTACCATCCGCACAAGTTTTTCTGGTGCTTTTCCACAATAACCAGAAAGAAGCTGTTTCCTTCTGTCGGGAGATGCTGTGTGGAGTTTTTGTTACGACTGTGGGCATGGCAAGGGGACACACAGCTCACACGAAGTGTAGCCAGCAAAGAGGGAAGGGTGGGGCTTCATTTTAAGTTTCACATAACTCGGAAACATACATCAGTTTCCTATAAAATCCCATCTTCTGACTCTCCCCTGCAGCCTAGAGCAGAGGTTGGCAAACTTTTTCTGGAAAGGGCCAGATAGTAAATACTTTAGATTTTGTGGGACACTTGGTCTCTGTAGCACCTGCTCAACTGTGACTAAATCAGCCACAGACAGCATGGAGCCAAATAGGCATGACTGTGTTTAATAAAACTTTATTGATACAAACAGGCAGTGAGCGCCCTGGCTGGCATAGCTCAGTGGATTGAGTGCGGGCTGCGAACCAAAGCATCGCAGGTTCGATTCCCAGTCAGGGCACATGCCCGGGTTGCAGGCCACAGCCCCCAGTAACTGCACATTGATGTTTCTCTCTCTCTTTCTCCCTCCCTTCCCTCTCTAAAAATAAATAAATAAAATCATAAAAAAAAAAAACAGGCAGTGAGCCTTGAACCTCTGGCTGGGAGCATCCCTCCGTGTTTCACCTGAGGCCCCGATCATAGGTTTTTGAGGATGGTCCCTTGCCTGCTGTCATGAGGAGGAGACCTCAGCAGTGACTCAGGCCCCCATAGGTAAGTCCATTGCACCTCCTGACCTATGCTCAGACTATATTTTTGCATGATGCTGGGGAGCTGGTGAACAGTATAGCAGGTAGCCCTCAACTCGATGAGCTTGCCAGCTGCCCTTGTTGGGGCTCTAAGAATGTCCCAGGTCAGTCGTGGTGATCCTCTTCTCCCTCGTCCCCAAATCTCGTCCTTTGGCCTCTTCTCCACACTCTCAACTAGAGATAGTTTTCTGAAACACAGAAGGGAGCCCCCTGTCAGCTCCGCCATTCTGACTCGTAACCTACAGAAGCTGAAAGGATAAGCATGAGGTGGGGGCAAGGAGGGGGGCGAGCAAGCGAGAGCCGGGAGGTGGAGTGGGGGAGGGGGAGGTGAAATGCGGTCCAAAGGTGTGTGACTTCCATGGAGTGGGGGTGGGTGGTTGGGGGCGTGGTTTTCAAGGCTCTTGCTGAGCTGATCACAGGCCGAGTTACCCATTCGCCATAGAAGGTATGGTACCTGGGGCCCATGATACGTGGTGCTTTTAAGGGCCTAAGACAGGTTTTAATTTCTTCTAAGGTAGAAGAAAAAATGGGTATAATGATAAGAATGAATGTATGATAATGAATCCATCTTGAATTTGATTCATCTTTATACTCATCCAATCATAAATGTAATTTTCAGCCCTGGATGCTGTGGTTCAGTGGACTGAGCGCCAGCCTATGGACCGAAGGGTCACTGGTTCAATTCCCAGTCAGGGCACATGCCTGGGTTGTGGGCCAGGTCCCCAGCAGAGGGCGTGAGAGAGAAAACCACACACTGATGTTTCTCTCCTCTTTTTCCCTACCTTCCCCTCTGTCTAAAAATAAAATCTTTGAAAAGATAAATAAATATAATTTTCAAAAAATTTTCTTCAGTGAAGGCAAATGTACCCTAGGACCCTTTCTAAGGCTTGCCATTTAAAACACAGACTGCCCAGTTATATCTGAATTTCAGATGAACAATGAATAATTTTTTAGTATAAGTATACCCCCAAATAATGCACAGGGCACACCTACTCTAAAAACTTATTTGTTATTTAACTAAAATTCAAATTAACTGGGTATCCTGTTTATTTGAAATTGAATTTCTCTCTCTCTCTCTCTTTTTTTTTTGGCTAAATCTGGCAATGCTGCAGGAAAGTCATCCCGCAGCCCTGACTGGCACCGAGTATGACTGTGGCCTTCTCTCCCATGCTCCTTCAACTAAATGTCTTAGGTCAGGCTCCCAGGAAGCAGACCTTAAGATGAGGATTCAGGTGCAAGAAATGCATTTAAAGAAGCACTCCAGGGGGAGATTAGTCCGAGAGGGTGAGAACAGGGCAGGGCGGACCGGAGAGGGGCGGAGCAAGGGGGGAGTGCGGACCTCTCCAAGGCCCTGCCGCAGGTGCGTCAGCCCAACCCCACAGAGCACCTCAGAGATGCCCCAGAGGGTGTCTGGGCAGAGCACTGACGGCGTCATCCGTACTAGGCCAGAAACAGAGGTTAGCCCAAGTGCGAGGCTTGGGAATGAAAATCGCCGACCCTGCTAGCTCTGCTTCAATTGGGTTTTCCGCTTTAGCCTGTACGTAACAGTGCAGAGGAGAATGATCAAATCAAGCACAGGTGATGGCGTGAGTGGCTGCGCTCCCCACTGCCCACCTGTACCTCACAGAGGTGGCCCGGGCCTCACAGAGGCCTCAGGTCAGAATTCGAGGGTCCACCTCATCACCACGAGGTTCAGAATTAGTTCCGCCTTCTGTATCTTAACTCTCACGGCACCACCAATGTGTTCGGCGATGAGTTCTGTGGCCTGACCGCAGCCTGGCGTTGTCGCCAGCCCCTCCTCCCACTCACCAAGCTCCCCTCTGCTCTCTGACCGTGTGGCTCAGTTTCTCACCTCTGTTATTTTCCTTCTGCTGCTTGCTCTGCCTGCAAACCCCTTCCCATCCTCGTCCATCCGGCAAACTCCGATCATCCCTCATGGCCCAGGAAAAGACCCGCTCCCCTTGACGCTTTCTCCCGCCTGTGTCCCCAAGGACATTCCTCCCACGGCCCTCAGACACATCTCTGCATGTCACTGATGGCTCGTGCTGCGAGTGTTCACATACACACCTGCCCCCGGGCTGCCTGTGGTGTCCTCTGTGGCAGGGATTTGGTTTTATTTACCTGGTTACTCTCAGTACCTAGTCCATAGTAGCCCCTCAGATGGTTGCTGAATGAATGAATGAATGAATGAACGAACAAATGAATGAATGAACACAGGGATTTAATCTGTGGCTTTGCACAGATGAGTACTGTATTGCAATCAGCTGGCTGCGATTTCCTGTAGGTAAAGTGTGTGTGTGTTTACAGCACCAGCAAAGCAGAGGCGCCAAAACATAACTGGGAAAATGATAAGGAGAGTTCTTTGTCGGATGCCGTTGAACTTCATCCTGGTGAAGCTAGATGGGTGTTAGGAGCTCCTTCCCCTGGGGATGTCGTCTCCAGCCTTCATTCCACGTGTCCAGGCTCCCAGATCAAGACCTTTCCAAACCCCCACTAGAATGTCCCATCCAATAGTTGATTTCTTTTCTTTGTTCAGTCTTGTTTGTGCACGCATTCCTCTTCCCAGCCCCCCAGTGGAGATCTGCTGTATCTACAGGAGAGCTTCTCCCACCTTCAGGATCTGATTCTCTGTCCCTATGACTATATGTACACATGAAAAAGTTTAATCAAATCTGATGATTTCATTTCTACCTCTATTTCCAGGGGTGGGAGCCTGGCCCTAGTCCACCTCCATTTACTGGTTGGGGCCTTGGCTCTGCCAACTCCTTACCAGCCTCCCCTTCTGGGGTTTCCTGGGGTGCCCTGCCTTCCCAGCTCTAAAATACCCAGCTTGGTGGGCAATAGACCTGATGGGAAGAGCACCATGAGATCCCATGGCCAGACTGGACCATTTGAACTTGGACATGAGCCTCACTCAGATCTACATTTACCTGCCCCTTTGGACACCCAGAGTGTCTGCTCCGTCTCTTTCCCCTCTGCCCACTGGGCGGCCACCTGCCACAGCCAGAGGTGGAAAGGTGGGGAGAAAGGACAGAGAGCCCAGATGCTGGAGCAGACAATGCTGGGCATGACCTTGACCCTCGCATTGACCAGGTGTCATCTTGGGGAAGTTGTTCCATCTCAGTTTGCTCACCCATCAACGGGAACACTACGTCCTCATGGGAAAGACAGAACTAAGTGACATCACCTAACAAATTTAAATCCCTTTTCCTTTAGTCTGGGAGCCCTACCTGCTTCTAGAATTCTCTCTTCCCGTCCCCTACTGACCCCTGAAGTCAGGCTTCAGAGTGCCTCCCAGGAGAGGAGGCGCTCTCCTTGAGTCCCGCTCACAGCCAGGCTCTCCCGAGGGCCCATCTCCCGCACACAGGGAAAGGCAGAGCGACATTAACCAGAAGGGCCAGCAGCCAACACAGGAGCACGTGGAACAGGAGCTGAACAGGGCACAGACCACACAGCATATTTTGATCAAACTGAAAAGACCTACATTATCAGGAAGAATCATATTGATCTATTCCTCCTGGCATGAGTGCACAAAAGGGGGACAAAGTGATAAAGGGACGCTGACGTAAGGAAAGATGGGATTTCGTTTGCATGGTCAGCCCTTAGTGACCCAGGCCGGGTGGGAGGCCACACAGGTACTGAACACCCAGTGCGCATGTGGGCTCCTCTCCTGCCATTGCCTTCACGAGGGGCTGGCAAGACTCACTTTCTGATTAGCTCAGTACATACGCGGCAGGGTCCTTCAGGAGGACAGGGCTCAGTGAAGGAGAATTGTCCATTATGTTGTTACAATTTCCCACGCCTTCCTCTTGCTTCAATTTCTGACTCTTCTCTCTCCTCCTTTCACCACAACCTTGTAAATATTGGGGTG